GTACTTTATAAACAGATTTATCAAGTCTCGCCTTTCCCTGAATAATGACTAAGTGTCTCACGAATGCTTTTCCTCTAACACTTACTTGAGAGACAGAACATTAGTGGCAGATTTAATGTCACCGTGGTTGTAATTTGCATGCCGGTGAAAAGTTAACATAATGGAGAAATGCCAAATTAAACTGGCTGACTACAAGCAGCGGTCCTGCTAAGATCTATTTCTCTATCTTCATTATTTCACCTCTTGGCTTATTGTGTTTGCTGCTTTCTCCCATTACTCACGAAATTGTCAGATACGTCCCCAAGGACGTGGGGCACAGGGCTTCGGAAAAAGCACTTGGATAGTTTACATAATGGGACCAACGAAGCCATTATGTTCTCCGCTGTAAAGAGGCCACTGTTCTTTCACGTTGTTAACTGACTCGTAGCTTAGAAGGAAGAGGGCGATTTTGGATCTGAGACAGAGTAAGGAAGCAAATTATCAGGGGACAGACTTGCAGGCTTTTCTTAGATTAACCTATGCTTGTAAGGATAGAGCATCCTGGAGACTTTTAATGACACTGAATCCCCCAAGGGAACTATCATGGGAAAACGGAGCAAGAATTATTACTCTTCTCAGAGAATACAGGAAGGCAGAGTGAGGCACAGGTGTTTTCTAATACAAAATTACAGGGGGAAGGGGGAATCAAACCACTGTGGGTAAATTGTAGGAGACAAATTGCTTCACGTTTTGTTGATGAGATTACAACTGGAGTCTAATGTGCTGCCATTATTCTTCGTCCAGGAGGATGAGCCACGGGATGATAAACTGGTCAACAGTGCCAGCCTTTCAACTCAGGTGTGTCCTTGTGCAATGGGTGAGAATGTTCGCAGCATCGCTGAGAGCCTCCAGAGCCCTCTGCCTGACATCTGTCCTCTCCATGCCTCACTGCTCGCTCTAAAGACACTGCTCACCATCTACAGATTCCCTGCATCTGAAGCCAGTGCCTCATGTCATTCAAAGAAGCAAAACTGTCCCGAGTCATTCAACACTAGACAAGGCAGGGGGGCAAAGTACATTTTGATCACATGCACTAGAGGGAAAAAAATGTCATTTAGGAGGAAAACAAATATTTTAGCATTTGGCAAGTCCTTGTTATGCGAAGTGACACTAAGTAGATATGTCATAAAAGAGGTGGAGCAAACCCCTCTCAGGCAATTCAGGACTCCATTCAGCTCAGAATATACATTTTGTAATTATGCCTCATTTAATCCCCTTTTCTATGTAAAGTTCCAGCATTGGTTAGCAGGGAAATCAGCTTCCAGGATTAGGCCTCTAGTTATTAACCACAGGGTATATTCTCTCATGTATGTGATGGTTAATACACTGTCCTACAGAAAGCCCGGTATATTCTTCATGTTTGTGGGGTTGGTTCTTTTTTTTAGCTTTTTACATTGCTTTATATAACTGTATCCCACACAGCTGCTAAACACTGAACAATATATTCGCAAGTCGTCTTTGCCTACCCAGGGGCCAGACTAATCCCTGTATTGTTCCAATTTTAGTCTATGTGCTGCCTAGGGGAGCAGATTCTTCTTCATTTTGTAATGACCAGATTTTAAAATATTTCCCCCCAACAATCTTGATGTTCAAAAATGACTGCCAAAAAAAAAAAAAAAGACTGCAAATCTTGCTTGAGCCAACAAGAAATTTTTTAAAAATCAGGAATAATACTTGGAGAAAAATAAGTGATATGCAAGCCATTGTTTACCACTGAAGAAAACTTTTTACAAACTGAAATGAAAGCAAACAAAAAGCACAGGACAATACATAGTGTTCATAAAATTTTATTGAGAACCAGTAAGTCAAATCCTTATGGAACACAGAAAGACATATGATCCTAGTCCGTCCCAATATATAACAACTGAACACTTGGCGGATTCCCTGAATATTCCAAACAAACTTGTTTCTCTACAGGAGAGAAATAGCTTTTCCAACATGTGAACAATACTGAAAATAGAGAAATAGGGTGGTGCTGTGACCTGCTTAGGAGAAGTAGAAATGGAATCAGATCCACAGTAAATAAGAAAAAGCTATTGAGCCAAAGGAGTAGGTGAGCAAATGTTCACTTTTCACTTTTGTATTTCAGAATCAGCTGGTGGAAGATGAGACACAAATTAATCCAAAAATGTAGGAGTAGAGCATGCTTCTCAATCCAGTTATGTAGAAGTGGTAAGAAAGAAAGGAAAATGACCTCACATCCACTTATACCTACAATTTCACCTACCAAGGTTTCCTTATGCTATAAAAATAGAATTAACATCAAAGATGAAACAGGAGCAAATGGAATTAAAGATTAAAGGCTGACGACTCAGGTGAATGTAAAGCCCAATGGGATCCATGGAGATGGTCAAATAACCTACTTCCACGTAGTGAAGAGTTAACGACTCCAATTTCTCATCACTACAGGAACAGAAATGCATAATAGCATCAAAGAATTTTGCTCAACAGGCTTTGAAGATCCTATTACTTAGCTTGTACATGGAAGTAAGAGATGCTGCTCAGTTTTCTGGGAAGCAACTGTTCAGATTTTTTTTTTTAAAATCAAGAAGAAAAAAAAATTGAGGGGAAAAATAGAATTCAAAACCAGAAACAAGGGGAGCTCTGGTGGCCTAGTGGCAAGGAGCTGCAACTACAATCCCAGAGGCGAATGGTTCAAATCCACCAGATGCTCCGCCGGGGAAGGAGGGTCAATCTCCTCCTGTACCAGTCAGATCTGATTTGACGGTACACGCACACAAAAATAATAAAACAAAAAAAAAAATTTTAAAAAAAACAGAAACAAAATAAAAGTTTTCTTTTTAAAACTAAGCAAGCTACTATAAAAATGACTTTCCATTTCTACCATATCAGGGTATTGGTCTTAGCTCAGTAGCCTCTATGAACTTAATTAAAAACAAGGAACTTGAATTGTCTGTATAGATGAAATCATTAGTGAATGACAGTAGGTAAACTGTAATCTACATATTAACAGGACTTTTAATATGCATGTTCCTGTCTTAGTGTTTTCCTGGGTTGAATTAGTGGAGATGGCTGGAAAACACAGTGATCAAGTGTCCTCTGGCTATGAGAAAGGTGTTTGTGGGCTCTTCTTGGTTATTGACCTTGGTAGCTCCAAGTGCAGAAAGAGTACAGTGAGACAGTTAACGGAAGCCAAGGGGCTTCATTCTCTCAAACTGGACATCCCGTCAAAGGCAAACTAGCTACGCCAAGCACTGTTCTGCCTTATTACTGTGAACACTGACACGGCTCATCTGAAACTTTCATAAGGAAGGCACAGAGAGCACACAGCTTACAAACAGCCCTTCAGAAATCCAAGAGGCACAGGGCAGTTCCCGACCTGTACAAATCACAGAAGGAAAAGGCTAATCCTAGGGAGGTTGCAGTGGGCTGGCTCTCAGATCCCACTGGCATGAGACTTTAAAGGATCAGACAACTTTCAATAATATTAGCTACTGTGATAAAAAAAATGAGCTGTTAGCTGCAGGAATGTGCACACATACAGTAAGAATAGCATGGGGGTTTTGGTGTATGTGGGTTTTTGTGATCAAGAGGGCTATTAGGGATAGGCACATTTGAAATTTTTAAATCCTATTTCTTTTGTAAAGCTGCAAAATGTTCTCAAATCAGTCAAAATATAAGAGGAGATAAAACAGGTCTGTGAAAGGGAGTGATGGGAGGAGGGGGTACTGATGCACCTAATATTAGTACAGAATTTCATCTGTACAAATGGTTTTGTACACCAGAGGTTTTCATCTACCACACAAAACCCAGATTCTGAGGCCTTGGAAACTTATGAAATGTTATGCCTAGGACATGCAAAGAAGATACAGGATCTATTTGTTTAGACATATTTTTGGGTAGTATGTTCTAAGTAAGTATTTCTAGTAAAAGCTTAGTGTTCTTGTTCAAGTTACTGGCTATTCAGAATTTACCTCTTATTATTTTTTCAACAAAAGTATATTGCTATACTTGTTTAGTCTAAAGGACATTTATATATAAATTCATAGAAAGAAAATCTCTTATGGCTTTCAGGGAATAGCCAATACTGAAGCATAATCATTACAAAGTGAGTAAACCACAAGTTGACATTAAGACAGTGGGCAGCTGGACTCAAATCCCAGGTTACAAAATATTCAGATAGAAATCTGCCTCCTGCTCTAATACTAAGAAAAAAAAATTAAATAAATACTCCTCAAATGTACTAGATTATTTTAGAGGAAAAAAAATTGTACTCTGTTATTTTCAGCTAACAATGTCAACTCAGATTCTAAAATAACCATCACTTATTGAAGACTTTGGTAAAAATGCTACCTTATGAAGGCAGGGTTCTTGACCTTCAAAATAAAGGGTCACGCTGGACAACGTGTTTCCCTCTAAACAGCCACCATAAAACGAGAAATGGAATTTAGGTTACTTGCCCAGTCTACAGTATGTACAGTTTTCCTCTTGAAAGGAAAATAGTTACATTTTTGTTCCCTTTCACAACCAACCACTTCCAGGAAAGCTGTCATGCAGCCATCTAAGCGCCTTCTTGGAGGAAACAAATATTAAAGAGACAAGGTGGAGGGCAGCAGCCAAGAAGGCTCACATATTTAGCTTTAGCTACATTTAGTTCCTTTTAATGACTCCCAGTCACAGACTGCCATACTGAGAAGCTGAAGTAAGAGTACTAATTCCTCCAGGTTCTGATAGATATGCATCTGTACACCCTCACAATACAGGATGTATCACCTACTCTGTCTCAGAAATAAAACAACTGCGGTTAAAATATTTCCTTGGGTACTTTTAAATAAAAGCAAATGGTAAGGAAGAGGAAGCGAATGAAGAGGAAATTCAGAAAAGAAATCAACTCAATCAAGTACTCAGTTGGCCTCTGTTTCAGTGAAAGCACTTAGTCCAGGTCTGACTTCATAGAGCGGGTCATGCAGTGAAGTAAGTGCAGGGTGCATTCTCCCCTTTTATAGCTCAAATGCGGGGAACATGGCTTTCATGGGGACGAGCAGGTCAGCCAGGAAGTAGATTGTTCCAGCCATTCCTGTAGAAAGGGAAACGAGGCGAAAGTCATTACCCCAAATACTACAGCTCCATTCTCTCAGCGCCATCAGTATTCTATTAATGTCAGTGATTTCAACCAAGTAGGAGTCTGTCTGTATGTATATCCGCTGCAGTTCAACAACAGAGCAATCACTGCGGAGGTGCCCAGCTTCTCTGTCCAGGCAGCAGACAGCAGGCAGAGCGGAGCCAGACCATTTTAAGTCACAGCCCTGCCATTACCATTATCAAGGGCCACTTATCTCTGACCCCTAGTCCCTTCCTCTGTGACATTACAGAAATAACACCTGCCTGTTTTTGCTGAGGTGATAAAGGTGCCTGGATCCATAAACAGCAGTCACCAGAATGATTATGAGTTTGGGTCCATGGAAGTACAGGTACTAGTGATTTCAATAATGACTTACTGTATCAGGAAACTAAAAAGCGGCTTAAGAAATGGCTGTAAGATTGATTTGCTGATAAAATTAAAAAATTCAAGTACATTAAATATCAACTGGAGAAGTAGTTAACTAAGACAAATCAACAAATGTGTGAAGAATACCTTCAAAGAGGGAGAAGGGGGTGTCAGGTGTTCTGCATCCGTGTTCGCCATAATCCAAGCACCATTCAGCAAACTGGAAAGGAGGACAAGTGAGGTAAGTGCAGCAAATGCCTCCAGGTACATTCAGAGGTTCACAGAGCTTGTTCAGAATTACAGTTGACCCCAAACAGAGAAGGCAGAGGGGCACCGATCTCCCACTCATTCTAACAAAAATATGCTCATGACTTACAGAAGCTCCTTGGAAAGCACAGGCTTGCAGTGTGTGGGCCGACCTCTGAACAGAAGTTTAGGTTTGAACTGCTCAATTGTTGTTGTTAAATATCAGCTTAAAATATGTGATGCTAATCATTTCTACATAGAAATTCTTCTTCTTATGTGCCGTCGAGTTGCCTGTTGACTCACAGCAACCCTACGTACAGTTTTAAACCTGCTCTATCCTGTGCCAATCTTACTGTCTGACACACCTATCCCGACGATTACCCGTCACTGAGTCAATCCATTTCCTTGAGGGTATTCCTCTCCTGCGCCGTCCCTCCACCCTTCCAAGCATCATGTCTCTCTCCAAGAGTCTCTCCAGAGTCCCTCCTTGCAAAAGTATGTGCAAAGTATGTCAGACGAAGCTTCAGAATCCTTGCCTCCGAGGAGCAGTCTGATTTTTAACCATCTCCAGGATGAACCTGTGGTTCTCTTTTTCAATTTTTTTCCTGGGGGGAGAAGGGTGTTTACCGGTTTATAGAGGGTTCCACATACACACGCTCACAGCATCACATGATAACAGCACAATGACGCAGTACACGCAGGAGGTGGGCCCCCACCCGACTATAGCCCAAAAGGGAGAGGGGGAAGCCTCCTCTTCTGTGTCCCAGACCCAGCTGAGTCCCTTCATCCTGGGCGGCTGGAGGTGGCAAGAGGAAGTGGGCACCAAGGCCAGACAGCTGGGGTCCTGGAGGGGCTCGTGGCAGGGGGGCAGGGGGGTGTCCCTCATTCCAGCGACTGCAGCATCAGCAGCTGTTTCAGCACCTTAGTCTGGCTGGTCTTCCAGATCTTACGGACTACGAACATCTCATGCACCACCATGTAAACCATGTGGAAACTAAACAGCAGGTCCAGCTTGCAGACATTGTGAAAATTCTCATTTAAGACCTGCACAAAGTTGTGGATGGCCTGCAGATAGGCCAGGTTGTTGTCACTGACATCCACACAGATGCAGAAGTAGAGACCAGCACAGTGTCGGTAGATGATCTTGAAGTTCCAGAACTCCACAAAGTTAGTGTGCTTGGCATCACTCAAGGTGACCCTGGCGTGCACCTCCTCGATCAGCTTCTGCTTCTCACTGCCATCAAACTACATGTACCACTTGGCCAGGAGGGTCTTGCCCGCCCAGTTCTGGATGAGGATGAAAGCAGATCATGACAAACCCCATCAGGATCCTAGTAGCCCTGGTCCAGTAGAAACCGGGCAGCTCTGGCTCCTGATGCAGTTGAGGGGCTCAGGGCGAGCCCTCTTTGTTCTCCTAGCAGTCTATGGTATATTCAACACTTTTCTCCAGCACCACAGCTTAAAGACATTAATCCTCCTATCATCCTTAGTCATTGTCCAGCTCTCTGACGAATAGCAAGTGATTGCAAAAACTGTGGCCTGTATCAGGTGCACCTTGGTCTCCAGATTGGGATCACGGTTCCTCAGTACTTCGGGGACGTCTCTGACAGCAGACTTCCCCAACACAATACTTCTTTTAATTTCCTGGCTGCTGGTACCAAGAGTGTTGATTGTGGAGCCAAGTAAACTAAAGCTGTGAACAATCTCAATCTCTTCACCATCCAACATGATGCTGCCAATCGGCCCAGCGGTGAGACTTTGTCTTCTTGACATTGAGCCTCAATCCATATTGAAGGCTGCAGTCCTTGACCTACAACAAGCACTTCAGGTCCTCCTTAGTTTCAGCAAACAGGGTTGTATCATCTGCATAAAGCAGGTTGTTGATGAGTCTTTCTCCAATCCTGACACCACATTCCTCCTCACAGAGCCCAGCCTCCTGGATAATTTATTCTGCATATAGATTGAAAAGGTATGCAGATTTTGAACCATGCAGTGTTCCCTTGCTCAGTTCTGATGACTGTCTCCTGGTCCAAGTATAGGTTTCGCATAAGCACAATCAAGTGTTCTGAGATTCCCATTCTTTTTAGGGTCAGCCATGGTTTGTTGTGGGCATTTTGAATCAGACAATCATATGATCTACTATGCTGGGGATGAAAAAGTGAGGAAAAATGGGGTTATTTCATAGTTAAAAAAACATTTCTAGATCCGTCTTGAAATACAATATTGTAAGTGATAGGATAATATTCATATGGATACAAAAAAGTCCAGTGAATACCACTATCATTCAGATATATGCACCAACAACCAGAGTCAAAGAGGCAACAGAAAATTTCTGCCAATTTTTGCAGAGATCAAGCAAATATACAATCAAGATGCATTAATAAATAATGGGTGACTGGAATGCAAAAGTTGGGAACTGATAAAAAAGATCAGTAGTTAGAAAACATGGACTTGGTGACAGAAAATGAAGGTGGAGATAGAATGATAGAATTTTGCACAATCAATTTATTCATTGCAAATAAGTTTTATAAGAAACAAACGCAGGATATACACATGGATTTCACCTGATCGTATGCATAGGAATCAGATAGATTACATCTGTGGAAAGAACCGCTGGAGAAGCTCAGTATCAGCTGTGAAAACTAGGCCAGGAGCTGACTGTGGAACAGATCACCAAATGCTCATACAGCATGTTCAAGATAAAGCTGAGGAAAATGAAATCAAATCCACAGGATACAAAATAAGACCTTGAGTCTATCCCACCCAAATTTCAAAACCATCTCAGGAACAGGTTTGAGGCCTTGAACATGACTGAGCAAAGACCAGATGAAGTGTGGGAGGATATAAAGAATATCATTCAGGAAGAGTACACAAGGTCATTACAAAGACAGAGGAGGAAGAAAAGGCCAAAAATGGGTATCAGAAGAGACTCTGAATATTGCACTAGAGCTTCAAAAAGTCAAAGCACGGGGAAGAATTCAAGATATTAAAAAGCTGAACAGAAGATTTCAAAGGGCAGTGTGGGAAGAAATGATTAGCAGAGAGAAAAAGAAACCCCACAACTTCCACATTCAAACTCATGTTATTCAAGGGTCAGCTGTACTGTGGAAAGTAAAAATTAGCTTCAAGTTAGAGAAAAACAGAAAAATACAGACAAAAATATGGTTTGACATTTAATAAGCTACCTGGGACATTGATCTCTGAGGTTAATCAAAGAGAAAAACCTAATAAAATGATCCTCCACCTTTCCTTTTTGTTTTGTTCTCCATTTTATCTTCTTTTTTAAAAAAAGTTAATTCAATTTAATGGCTTTTAAAGATTGTCCTTAAATAATGGCTTATCTATGGATTGTTTAAAAACACAAATTATGAAAGCAGATGAAGTGGAACCGTTAATCTAAAGCAACGGCATCTCCCTGGGAGCCCACCTTGCAGGCCCGGTACAGGTACTTCATGTCGTGTGTGACATTGTAGAGCGTCAGGAAGGCGTACGCGTTCCCCGCGGCACCATGGCACAGCCCGTAGCCTTTCTTCAGCAAGCCATACTGCCAGATCACATCAGCACACTGGTATGCGTCAGTGAGGTACCGCTCGTCTCGGAACACCTGCAAGAGGTAAGGACACCGTAATTTAGTAAAAGGGATGGAAAACAAAGTTCTCCTGTCACTGCTTCCAGAAAGGGAAGGAGGAAAGGGGGGAGCGGAGGAAGGGGTGGATGGAGGAACACGGCTTGGCAAGGAAGGGTGAGTTTCATTTTTATTTTTAGAAGTAACTGAGGGGGGAAAAAAGGAAGAAAAAAAAAAAGAAGTAACTGGGCATGGCCATGTCTGTATAATCTAAATTTTGTTATTTGTTAATATACATGTCAGGAAGCTCTGGTGGCCTAGAGGCAAGAAACTGCACTGCAATCCCAAAGGTGCGTGGTTCAAGGCCACTAGCTGCTCCCTGGGAGGATGGACAATCTCCTCCCTAGCGATTAACTGCCTCTGAAAACCTGCTGGAGGGTCAGCTATGAGTTGGGTCTTACTCCACAATATACAACAATACTGTATAATAATCAACAATGATACAACAGTGTTATTGCTGAAATAACATTATTTAACTAGCAACTTGTCATTAAGTCACTGTCCAAAGAACATATGTTGTCTTCTTTGGTAACAACGATGTATTCCCCAACAGTTTCTTTTTACCCAGGAGAAGACATTTTCAGGTATCTATGTGTAGACAGACTCTAAAACACTATACTTTATCAGAAAAATAGAAATATACCTTTACAATTGTTTGTTGACTCCTAAATCTTAATCAAAGACTTGTGTACTTGAAAGATATTCTTCTGAGCATGTATTTTTTCAATCCTGAATTGTTAATACTAAGTATCCTTAAAATAGACTAGTGCATTTTACTTTCATCATAGCACTTGTTGGAACTAACAGCTTTAAGACTATGCAGCAAGCAAGTAACTACTTCCTTAGTTTTTATAAAACTGATACATTATTTAGACCATTAGATGTTAGTGTCTATTTAAAATCTTACAGATGCATAATATATAAATTTGGTACGTATGTCACTAAAAATTTTATTTCTATCTTCAGTGGAGCTTCTGACATATTTAAAAATATTGGGCCCTGTCACTGATGTTACAACTTTGGTTCTAACTTGAGGTATACAACATCAACAACTACTCTACCAGCCAGTAAAATCATCTAATTCTCTGAAATAACATCAATTATAGAAGGGATAAATACTGTAAAAATGAACATATAATTTATGAAAGTGCACGTATGACCAACACAAAGTGTATTTATTGCTTCTTTAAATAAATTTGTGTATAAAACAAAATTCTTTCGAACATTTTACTGTGATGTTAAAGTTCAGAGTTCAACAATTCATGTACTTTATGCTGTGTGATACTGATTACAATGTCCATGTTGGAACAGCCCTCTTTTCACTTCTCCCCTGGGCTTCCCTACCCCTTCCTGCCTCCTCAACTATATCCTTGGGCAAATGCTGCTGCTTTGATTTTGTGTAGTTGGTTGATCCAAGGTGTGCATTCCTCCCTGGAGGACTTTCTGGCTTTAGGAGCTCTACTGTTGCAGTGTAACACGGTGTTCTACTAACCAAAAGGTCAGCAGTTTGAACTCCCCAGCCACTCTGAGGGAGAAAGAGGGGTAGTCTCCTCCCATTAGCATCTAGAGCCTCAGAACCCTGATGGAGGGTTGCTGTGAGTTGGAAATGGCTTGAAAGTTTATAGACTTTATAAGACTGAATTAAAAGGACAACACTGTTGTGTATAATAGAGTTGGAACTGACCCATAGCTGACCCTCTGGCAGGTTTTCAGAGGGAGTTAACTGCACGGGAGGAGACTGCATACTCTTCTCCCACAGAGCAGCTGGTGGCCAGGAACCTTTGGGATTGCGGTGCCGCTTCCTGCCAGTAGGCTACCAGAGCTCCCTAACAGTTTATTATGCTTTCCAATTTAGTTCCGAAATGAGAAAATCTTACAGTACCTTATAGGCCTGGACGAGCATGTAGATGACTCCAGGGGCACCGTGGCACCAATGGACAAGCATGTCTCGGTTATCATCCACACACGGAGGGTAATTGCCAGAAGGGAATTTAAGCTGGCAGACGTAGTCGACACTGGGCTTGACCAAACCATACAACTTTGCTTGGCTCACTTGAAGGCTGGGCTAAGGATGAGAAAAGGTTATTAGTTCTACTGAACAAAGAGACTTCTTAGGCCTTAGGAATGCTTTAAGCTGGAAAAAAGTATGAACAAAAGGAACTGGGGGGTCACAAAGAGCCTTTGGATTTCACTCTATTTTCAGTTCCATATTTTTATTAATTCAGTTCCATATTTTATGATTTAATTTGGTGGCTGCAAACAATAGAACAAATGAAAATTCATCTCCGTTAACTCCTGGAGCCTCCTAATGTATTATTATGTGTTATATTCTTTTCAACATTTGTTTTTATCTATGTACATATATAGAATGATTTCCTTGAGCTGTAATGTCTGAGAATTGAGTGTAATGGGCTCTTGCCTAGGGTTTCAATACTGAAAGCAAGCTCTGAAGGCAACAAAGCTGGAGACAAGCCTAAGACAACGATGATTGTTTCGTTCACAGTAGCGGCGGGTGGCACAGCAGCAAAAGGACGTGGGGGCTGGGCAGGCAGAGGTGGTGGGTACTAAGAGACACTGACAATGCAATTTCCACTGAATGTACTGAATGTGCACTAAATTCTTTAGGGGGCGTATCGATTTAACTTTCCTCAAAGAAAACCATAAAAGCTCAGGCTAAAAGTTAGAGGGGAATATGGATTCTCCTCAAACTTATAAGAATTCAACAACAGGGCCTAAACACAGTACTGTTTTGTGTTGTGCTGACACATAGGTGCCTGCTAGAATGCACTTTCAACACTAAAAATGAAATAATTTCAAATAGATAATAGCTTGTAAATGGAAAAATCAATACTCCAGTTGCTGAACGCCTTATTAGAGCTACCTAAAAGGTGCCAGGGTGAAGATGCTTCCAGATCTGTCTCAATGAGCGGTCAATGAGGCTTCCCCGTCCCTGTCATGAGCAACTCCAATTCACCTTCAAAAGACATGAAACCTTTTCCTGAGCAAGAAGGAATTTATGTTTGCTGTTGGTTATGAGGCACTGAAGAAATGTAGTGAGAAACTGAAGAAATTTGGTCTATATTGTCAAAAACTGTAACTATACAACTTCTAATTAAGATGTGCAGGATGAAGGTAACGGTCTCTTAGTGAGGCTAACATTCAGTGTGACTGCATTCAAAAGCATTAATAACCTTTGAGTCTTATAGTTTCACTGTCACTGTTTATGGTAATGGGCACATCTGATACTGATTCTGTAGTTTTATTTTTATTGTCAGTTACTAAACCAGTTGGTTAGCAACGTAGAAGAAAAATACTCACCTTTTACATACTGTTTTAACAAATATTTTACTGTTAGGTACAAGTTCACATAGCAAATTACTTTTTGCAATCAGTAATTCATACATGTCATTATTCCCTGACGCTGCTCCCAACCCCTGTAATGTATCAGTCATCTTGCCATTTCTTCTCTGGGTTCCCCACTTCAATCTGTCAGCTTTCCCTATCTCTCCCTGCCTTTTATCTTTGCTTTGGGACATAATGTCTTTTTAGTCATATACTAAACTATATACTATGGTTCTCGAGAGCACGTTCTTCATGGCTGTTATTTTTTAGGCCTATTATTTGACTGAAAGGTGGACTCCAGGAGGGTCTCCAGTTTCAAGTTCAAACCTGGTCACAAGACAACAATCTTAGGAGTTCCCCAGTTTCCTTCAGACCAGTAATTGTGGTTCTGGGTTTTTAAAATTCCTCTGGCTTTGGATTTTGTTTTGTATTTTCTGGTCCCTTGAGCAAGTAGTCATGCATTGGGCATGGCCACTGTCAATGGATCAATGATACCAGTTTGAAGACTAGGGTGTGTCTGACTCAGGCCACGGTCTTCTCCATCACTTTTATGTGTCTGAAAGCTGGACAACAAATAAAGGTAACAGAAGAAGCACAGATGCCTTTGAGTTGTGGTGGTGAAGAAGAATAGTGAACATTCTACAGACAGCCAAAAGAACAAGTATGTGCTGGAAAAATGCATCCCGGCTGCTCCTTAGAGGAAAGGATGGTGAAGCTTCGGCTCACTTTTCTGGCCTATGTTGGTAAGAGAGTCTATTGCCTGGAACTGCGGAGGGTCAGTGAAAGAAACAGGAAGACACTCAACCACATGGACTGACACAGTGACTGCAATAAATGGGCTCAAGTGTGTCGGAGATTGTGAGGAGGACAGAGGATAAGGCAGAGTTTTCAGATCTGCTGTTCACAGTGTTGCCTGAAGTAGTACTCACCTCAGCGGTACCTAACAGCAACTACAACAGTTGGGGTGCAGTTGCTGTGGTCTGCTGGGTTGGAGGATGGGTGGCGAGTGGGCTGGCATGAGTTGCTGACACCTGGACCCGGGTCAGGGCCTGGGGAGGAGGCAAGTGTTTAACTGGATGAACAGGGTTGTACTGCCCCCCAAGCCTGGATGGGGTTGCTGCTACTTCTGGGGTGTGTGTGTGGGGGTGTCAGGTGGGAGGTGGGGGTCAGGGAGGAGGCACAGGTACACTGGGTGGTGGAGTGGGTGGCTGGGGAGTGCGCTTCTGCTGCTTCCCAAGGGGATGGTCGAGCTGGCGGCAGAGAGGATGGATGGGCCTGCGTGGATCAAGGGTGGGGCAGGAGCTGCCTGGAGTCTGGGCAGCAGGGGACTGCCCATTGGTCCTGCAGGAAGCAACTTCTCAGGTGTGTCGCTCATTGAATATGTATGTGACTCCGGATCCTGGCTCTGTTCCCAGGCTTTCCCTTCTTACATCTGATTATGTTCCCCTCCCTTCTTCCCTCTTGGTGCGTACGCAGCTTCTGTCTCCTGTCGGGAGTTCTGTACAGGTGCCTTCCTGTGCTCTGCTGGCTTGGTCTGAAGATGGCCATGCAGAGCCAGGCTGGTCGGCAGAGCACCCCCACTCTGAGTCCCTCCTTGTCAGGGTGCTCTTTCAAGTCTTCTTCTGGTCAGTGTTTGCGTCTATTATTTCTCTATTTGATGTTGATGGTGCAGGTCTGTCACATGCATCTGTTCCGCTGACTTCCTAGTCGGCCGTGGAGGGATCGCATGCCGTGTCTAACTAAACTGCCATTTTGGCTCCTTTCTCTTTCTCTTACTACAAAGCATCAATCTGAAGAACCAATTTCTCCTTAAAGAGACCTCAGTAAGCTGCTTAAAATGATGCTTTCAGGAGTTTTCTTCTGACTTCCTCTCCCACATAATGCTCGTTGCAGTAAATTGTGCCTGTCCTGCAGTTTAACACACGTTGACTGTGTTTCCCAAGAGCTTTAGGGCCTAAGAACTGTTGTGCATAGCAAATTCTGCTATAGTTTTCAGGTAAGCCACAAAAATCCATTGAAGGCCCTCAGCTTTGCTTTCTAAGTCAGCCTAAGGTAACACATGCTCATTTGTTTTCTATTGATTTTAACTTCTGGAATTTGTTTGAATGGGTTATGCTTTATTATAGAGGAATAATATCATCAATTCAAGGAATTTTCTGTGAGAGGCGAGAAGAGGAATGGGAGGTGCTTTCTACAGAAATCTGGTCAAAGCACCGCTAGTCTGTGCAGATGCCTCTCGATGGTATGGCCATCTGTAAATCAAACGTCAACTCAAAGCATGGTGTCTTACGTTTCTTCTTATTGTTATGTGCCGTCGAGTCGCTTGTGACTCATAGTGACCCTGTGTACAACAGCCCTAAACTCTGCTCTGTCCTGTGCCAATCACACCATCTCCGATACACCCATCCCGATTACCCCAGTCACTGAATCAGTTGGGAAGCATGGTCTTTTTTATCTGGGATGATCACAAGGAGCGTGATGGATTGACAACAGGGGGCAACAGAATAATAGAAGGGCTGGAGCACTTGTTTTCTCACCCAATACAGCGCACTCGGGAAACACCTCGTACCTGCATGAGGAAGTAATAAATGCCCGCCAGGCCGTGCGCCGCCCCCACGTAGTACTCCTGGTACCATTCATACATCAGTGGAGTCTTTGCTGTGAAGTTTCTCTTTCTGGACAGATTTTCTCCAGTGGTTATAATGGTGTCACATATCTACAGGGAGGAAACCAAGCCGAGTAATGAGAGAACTAGAATAATACTTTTCCGAGTAAGATCTAGGGCACTTTGCTAAAGGAACACGCTCAACAAGCTAGTGTCTTCCAGACACAGAACAGCACTGCAATTCTGACCTCAAAGAGGTGGATGTGACTGTGCTCTGCCTCCAAGCGGGAGGGCGTGGATCTTGCTGAGCTGTTCATGTGTCGAGGGAGAGGATAATTCCTCCAAGCAAAAAGGGTCCTACATCTACGAGGAGAAAATGGGTATTATTTTTCTTCTGAATGGGACTATAAACTCTCAAATCTAGCAGGTTCACTCTCTCTAGTGCTTCCAAAAGTGCTCAGGGGGAAGTTAGGTGCTCTGTGACCACTCCTGACTTTTTTGAGGCAAAACACACTTTGCCACTACTTGAAATGTGCTCACTGGGAAATCAAAAGACAAATGCAAGTACAAAACAAGTGTGATGCTAAAAAGGTCCCAGAAGTGACAGAAAAGCACGGTACCTGTTGGATATAGCTCTGAGGAATCTTCTCCTCTCCAAAGTGCTTATTCACAAAAAGAAGTGCATAGATGTAGCCCATCTTTCCATACAGCATCTCACTTGGTGCGTGGGGATCAATCTTGTTTAGGTGAATCAGCCTGCGGGAAAAACACAAGTCTTTCATAGCATGAAAGGGATGGGGAGTTGTATAAAAGTACACCTTAAATACACATCACACACACACAAACACAGACACCCACAGACATGTAATTTTTAAGATGTGAGCTGGTCCAGACTAAAAGCCTAGTTAGAACTCAAATATTAGCCTTCCACTAAATTTCTTAAGTTCACCGTTAACTTACACACAAGAAATTTAAAGAACAAAAGACTACAAGTGAACAGCTGAGCTGCTCTGATGTCTCCCTGTGTCCTCACGGAGGAAGCCCAAAACAAATGGCTATAATGACATTTACTCTGAGAAAGGGCTATGTCAACACTCAAGGTTCAAGTTCTATCACTTGAAATACCTGCTTCTCCTATTATTACCTTTGTGGTTAATTTCTTATGTGCTGCCAGGCTTACTAAGTACCTGTAGCTAAGTGTTGTGTACAACAACTGATGATGCAGAACTATGGTATTAAATCTGTTAACCAGCTCCCTGCCTTCCCACTCTCTCAGCCTCCCAATTCTTCTTTTCAGACATAAACACTGCTACCAACTTCCAACATAGCCCTAGAACTACCTCAGGCACATCAAAGTGTATGCACACACGTGTGCGTGTGTGTGTTTATGTGTACACAAAGAAGAACGAGCGCACAAGCCAGAGAGCTTGCTCGCTCACTTTGTGGCCTAGTGGGTATGGAGTTGTGCTTCCAAACTAAAGGCTGGTAGTTTGAATCCACCAGCTGCTCCTTGGAAGAAAGACAGGAAATTTCCTCCTCTGCGATTTAAAGCCTCTGAAAACCTGCTGGATGGAGTTGGTTTCAAATTGACAGAAATGAGTTGCTGTTGTTGCTCTACATATACATACACACACACATAAAACACATGTATGTGCACATTACCCACATGACTGAATCATGATGGTGACCTCATGCGTGTCACAGTAGTGCTGTGCTCCATGCTGCATACAATTTTCAGAGGCTTCGAGGCCTTGCTCCCACAGGGTCTCTGAGTGAACTACAGAACCGTAAATCTTTTGGTCAAGGATGTGTGCAGTTGGTACCACTCAGGGATTCCTAATCACGTATTTATATTTTCCACAAACGTTCTTGCATTTTGTTAGTTAGCAATGTATCTTGACAATCATTCAACTTCAATACATACAGTCTCATTTTGTACAATATTTTCATAGGCTTCCCAAGGACCAGAACTACTGTAACTTATTAGATCCTGACTGACAAAGTCAGTCTAGCTTCATGACTAAATGCAGCTAGAAAACAGCTAACTCTGAAAAGTTAAGACAATAAAACTTGTGAAAGCCAGACTCTGAATGCTGGAGACCAATCAGAGGAAGAAAACACAAAATATTTTCCACTAAAAGCAAGATTGAAAAGTGGTAAGATGGCTCCTGTCAAAGGTGGAAAACTTCCAAGACCCAGGAAAAAACCAAGCAGCCTTGTCAAGTTCCAGTTCTCACTGGACAAAGCAGCAGGAAGTTTACTGTATTTCCCCCTCTGCTATGTGCCCAGCCTGAACTCTACTACTGCCCCAAACCCAGAACTTCTTTGCTTCTATCTAGAAAAAGAACAAGAAAGGCAACATTTTCTTTTTCTCACCCTCTCCTGCCACTGAAGATGAAGGGTCACAGAAACAAAGATCAACAAGATGGACTGATGCAGGACTGTGACAATGGACTTGAGTGTATGCGAGGTGACGATGGCACAGGGCAGGGTTAAGGTTCAGATCTGTTTACAGGATTGCTATGAGGTTGACACAATGGTACCCAGCAAGAGCAGATGGCAGCTGAGACAGTCTCACCACCCCTCCGTCCACAGAGCATGCTGGCTATGTATCTTCCAAGCCAGATCTGTTTTGTGTCAAAGACTTTGGGCACTTTTCCAGAAGAGGCCAATCCCTGGAGAAGGCCATCATGCTTGGTAAAAGATGAGAGAAAAAGAGGACCTTAAACAATGGACTGACGCAGTGATTGAACAGTGGGGTCAAGGACAGCAGTACTGACTTGGAGGACGGTGCAGGACCAGGTGGTATTGTTCTGGTACACACAGGTCTCTATGTGTCAGCACCGACTCCACTCCAGGGTACCTAACAACAATATGCCTGTGGGTCTGAGCAACCACATGTTATCATCAGAAGCAGCAGTAAGGGGCACTCAATGGAGCCTTAAGAGAGGGCTCCGTTCCGCACAGGTCAGAGACACTGTGACGAAATCCCCACTTCGTCCTCCTCTCTGCTCTCCCCATCACTGTTCCTCAGATGCATCTCAGGGATGGACATGGGAAGAGAGGGGCTAAACAGGGTTAGAAAAGTTTTCCAGCAGGAGGACCAGAGAAAGAGCCCCCAGGGACTAACAAGCAAAGGGACAGAATCGAGAGAGAGGAGGGCAGACAGCAGAGGGGAAAGCAACCTTATTTTGTAGTTATAATTTTGACATTAAACATTGTTGGGATGAAAACAAATTTGCTAGTTTAAAAATTTTTTTAGAGATCCAAGATGGCGGCAGAGGCAGAGACAGTGTGGTGAGCTGCGGGAGCAGTGAACCACTTAAAGCAGGGCCATTATGGCCTTCCACAGACTTCGGCTTATTGATAATTAAACACTTAAACAGTTGATGACTGGCCCTCAGTGAAGATTGAAGCTCAACAACAGGAATTCAAGGATTCCCAAGGAGAAATGGGTGAGTCTCGTGGCTCCCCCGCCCTCCCAGAGCCCATGCCATGCTGAACAGCTGCTGCAGCTCCATGAGGCTTCCACAGCCTGGATTCCCTCACCCAGGATGGATGTTGGCCACTGGCCCTCCTCAAGACTGGTACAGTGAAATCACTACACTGCCGCAAGGTGGATTTGGTCTG